CGGGGCTGGCAGAGCATACACTTGGGCAGTGAAAGAGGAGCTGACCTGGGAGGTTCAGAGGAATCTGAACGTGCCAGAAAGGACTTCTGAGAGGACTGAGGAGGATCCATCTGAGGCTTTTCCAAGCTGACTGTTCTTGGAGGGAGAATGCCCCAGTATCAAGACCTTGAATATACCAGGGTCTTTTTTTTTTTTTTAAACCAGGGCTCCAAGCTGGCCCAGTACTATATGCTCCACCTATAACATCTCATTTTATTCTGTGAGGAAATTCCCCATTTTATAGGTGAGAGGAGTAAGGTTCAGGGAGGTTAAGCAATTTCCCCAAAGCCACACAGCCAGTGAATGGAGGATTGATTACACACCTGCTGTATGACTCCAGGGCCCAGCTCTTAACCAAGGTGCTGCCTCTTGGCTAAGACTCAGAAAGTTGAGGTGACTTTCTCCAAAGCCCTTGCTTGCCCCCATCCCTGCCCTGGCCCATCTGCATAAATGTCCTAACTTCTGTGCTTTAGTTTCTCCACCATCAATAAGATGGTATGAACATTTGCCAACCACGCTCATATTCTTAGGGCTTCTGGAGCAGATGCCCCAGTAATCATGGGGAATGCCCTGGGATGCCCTCTGTCCTGTCCTCCCTGACAGACTCCCATGGGCCGAGCTGGTTCTGTGCGTGTCTGAGAGCAAAGAAAGCCTGGCCCACCTTGGGCTTTTCTTCTCAACTGATGGACATCAGTGGGCTGGAGCCCAGGACAGGTGGAGGCCAGGCAGGTCAGGGGACCAGGTAGATCTAGAGTGGACTGGTTTCTGCAAGAGGAAAGGGGCATGGGAGGAGGGGTGGAAGGATCCAGTACAGCAGTTGAGACCACACCCCAAAGTCCCGGCTAAACACCTACTGGGGACCAACCTGCCGGGGATGCAGAAGGCTTGAGCTGCTGACTCAGGAGAGAAGTTTGTGTTGAAGAAGTTTGCCCCAGCTCTGCCATGTGGGGGGGTCTCCCCTATCATGCATTCTTCAAACATCAGCTACAGGGTCCTGGGGGGAGGCCAGGAAACTCCATACTCTGGATGACCTGTAAAGAATTCAGGCCAGGAGGGACAGAAGAAAGTCTCGAGGGCAGACTCAGAAGCTGCAGGAAGGAGGTGACATCTGAGCGGATCCTAAAGAGACAACCTGGGTTTTGACCCATGAAGGTAGTAGAGAAGGGCAGGTGGGCAGAGGCAAGAGCCTGAACAATGCCAGTCAGGGAAGGCAGGAGACCCTGAAGAGGCTCCTTGCTGTGGGAGGGGAGGCTGAAGGCTGGGGGTCTGATGGTGGAGGACCTTGGCCAGCAAAGGGACTATAGGTGGTCCTCAGGCTTTGTGCTGCTCCCTGTGAGTGGACAGAGGACCCGTCTTGCAGCCATCTGCATCTCACCGAGACAAAACTCCCTGACCCACGCTGAGGAGGGCTTGGGCTCCTTGCAAACCAGCTTTTGCTCTCAGCGAGGACCTGGTCATCTTGTCCAGGGAAGGCGGAGGCCTGTGCTGGTCAAACGTCTCAGAAGGGCTGTGGTCTCCCTCTCCACACCTGCCTGGGCAGTTCACCGTCACCCCAGGACACGCACAACCAAATGCCCTCTGCGTGAGGGTGGTGGCCAGGACTGGGGAACAGGGCCAGGGCACAGGTGGGCAGGGATTCGAACCCAGGGACAGCACAGGCCTTCTTACTTGCTACGCATCACCTTAAGGAAAGACACAGGGTGTGACCAGACCTCCAGCTCTGAACCCACCCAAATCCCATTGTTCTCTGCTCCAGGGTCCCTGTGAACGTGGCAAAGAGCAGACTTCTGGTTGTTAAGAGAGGAGAGATTTTAAAGGACTCCAAAGACATCTCAATTCTGTACAAAGTACAAAGGAAAACTTTAAAAGAACAAAATCCCAAACCATATGGATTATATTTTCTCTAAAAGAAAGATTTGCTAAGTGACAAAACCTGTGGCCAGGGAAGAGGCTCAGGCCCACTACAAGGCCCCTTGGGGCCGGGGCAGCAGGGAAGCCACCCACTGGCCCACACCCGCGTGGTCCTGCGGCAGTTCCCCTGTGACGTCAGCCGGCCACAGCCCCACCTTCTCCCTCCTGCACACCAGCCTCAGTGAACGAGCTCGCTCCCCCTGTGAGTCACCAGGATTGGGCTCTGGATCTTGTATGACAGCATTTCGGTGGCCAGTGTCCAGGAGGACCCTCAGCACTTACATTCATGCCCTTGTGAGGTGTCTTTCCACACTGAATGACAGCTCATCTGCGTGACCCACAGAGTATGCCGAAGGTGACAATCCGGGACTCGTGAGGCTAGGTGGGAAGAGTCCAGCTGTGAGAGTGAGCAAGCAGAGCCTCCAGCCCCCGTCAAGCCTTCGGGTGACCACAGCCCTGGCCGATACCCTGACCGCAACTTCAAGAGAAACCCCAAGCCAGAGCCACCCAGCCAAGCTGCTGCCAGGTTCCCGACCCTCACACCTGGGAGAAAATACATGTATGTCATTATTTGAAGCCACTGAGATGACTTATTACAGAGAATTCGAGATCTAATAGAAGTAACGTAAGCGTAATGTTAATGTTCATTATGGTCTAAGCATAACAGTCAAAAGCATGGGGTCCAGCTGAGATCTGTTCACAGCCTGGCTCTACTATTTTCTGGCTCTGGGTTCTTCACTCGGCCATTTAATCAACCTGCGCCTAGACCTTCTCATCTGTGAAATGGGAGCGCCAGTCATGCCTAAAAGAATCATTCTTTTTTTTTATATTGTATTTTAAGATTTTTTAATTTATTTATTTGAGAGAGGGAGAGCGAGAAAGCATGAGCAGGGGAGGGGCAGAGGGAGCGGCAGACTCCCTGCGGAGCAGGAAGCCTGACTTGGGCCTCGATCCCAGGACGCCAGGATCATGACCTGAGCCGAAGGCAGGCGGCTCAATGACTGAGCCACCCAGGCGCCCCTAAACGAAATCATTCTTAACTCCTCCTCATTGCACGTGAAGTGCTCAGCCCCAGGCTGGCACAGGGTAAACAATGGCAGCGAGGTGGCGCTTACCCTTGTTACGGCCTCTGTGTCCTGACATGTGTTCGTGCATGTGTCTGTGCCAGCACAGAACTCCCAGCCGATGCCGGCTGGACTGACGAGCAGCAAGCAGACTGCTCTTCCAGATAAGCCCATTCCCTCACCCTGGTCGTCTCTTGCCCCAGATCCTTCCTGCAAACTGCTCACTCCAGAAAACTCTCCGTCCCGAAACACTGGCGGTTTTCTTGGGCACGCGAGCCACTCAGGTTCGTCCAGCTCCTTCGGGAGCACTGGCGGGGGGGCCCTGCTGATGCTTGGGAGGCCGCTCGCGTGGGGACAGGAAGCCACACGGCCACCCCAGCTGGGACTGGCCCAGGAGAGAGTGGCCCCCGTTTCTAAGAGGCAGCCAGACACTTCCCAGCCCAGTCCATTTCTCTGAGGGCGGCGAGAGCCCAGGGACACCCGCTGGCTGGACCCGGCCCTGTGGGACACGAAAGGGGGAAAGACCAGTCACCCCCTCCAAGAACAAAGCCAAGGAGTCTTCCAGCAAGGGCACTGAATGTCTTCACCCTACTGTCAGCCCAGCCCGAAGGGAAATCATATGAGTGGCTCAGAAATATTTTTAAAAAGTGCATTTTTAAAAAAAGCAATTCTTGGAGGTAACCGAGGTACGGCCGCCTGATTCCTCGCGCGCGTCCTCTCAACTTTGCCATCCTCGGGCAGATGGGGCAGCAGGGGAGGGTGTCCTGCTGGGTGGAGGGACAGGGATCCAGCCATCACAGGGGAGGGGTGGGAGCATGAAACCAGTGCCACGGGACAGAGAGGGTGAACGTGGGTACCAAGAGACTGCTTCGAATAGGAGGCACGGCTCACTGCCCCGGGGGAGCGGGGGAGTCCTGTCATCGTAACCGCGTGCTTCAGCCTCGGGGCCGTCTGCTGTGGCATGGGGTGAGCCTGGCGTTTGGGGCCAGGCTGGGGCACCAGGACATCTTACCCGCAGAGGTCAGGGAGGCAGGTCTTCGGTAGCCGTGTGTTATGTCGCTTTCCTCTGCTTGCTACTCCCAAGCGCCATAAGCCAGGGAAGGAAAGGGGGCAGGGAGGGAAGGCCGGTGGGATGGCCTCCAGGAAGCTTGACAGGGGGTCGCTGGCCCTTTCCTTGCTGTGTGGAGACTCACTGAGGAGGGGTGTAGAGGAAAGGGTTTTAAGTACTCAGGCCCCGAGGACAGACAGACGCAGGTATGAATCCCAGCCCGCTGTTTGTGAGCTGTATGAGCCCAGGCATGCAGCCTACGTCTCTGAGCCTGTTCCTTCATTGGGAGGATGGAGTGGACACAGCGTCTATCCCTAACCCATAGCAAATGCTCCATACATGGAAGCTGCACGTATTTCTCCAAAGCATCCCGTTAGGGCATCAGTTGCAACCCTTGCAACTTAGTCTCTGGTCTGTATCCCTCGGTTGTTCCGTGGACCCTGCTCCCTCCCTCTGAGCTTGGGGCAGGCTAGAGCAGAACCAGGACCGAGGGGAGGTCCGAGTGCTGGGCCAGGCTGACATCCCCTCTGTGGAGCCCCTTTTGGGGCTGATGCTCTCCATTTGTCATCAGGCAGTTTTTCTGGCTAGGAGGGCCAAGGGAGCCCCCAGGGCTGTGGGGTCACTTCCTGAGGCTGTGGGGTCGTGGGGCAAGGCTGAGCATCTCCCCTCCATTCCCCGAAGAGAAGGCAGCCCCCAGGCCTGCCGAGTCGGGACCCTGGTGTGGAGCTGCACACCGGCAGGGCACAGGGTCCCCTGTTTGCCCCCCGCCGAAGTAGACTGAGAGGGGATGGAAGGGCCTGCCAGCCTTCGGGATCCTCCTGCCCACTCTGCAGGTCATAGGCACCGAGGCAGAGGGTCCCAGGCCAGTTTGGGAGCCTCACCCCCAGCCACCTTCACCTTTTGCTGACGAGCAGGTACTGGGGCCCATTCTCCTGCTGCTACCAGCTCCACTCCCTCACACTGTGGCTGCACCAGGCCTGGGCAGCTCCCCGTGGGCTCCCGGCCCCCTGACGGGGAGGAAGGAGGCCCAGGGCTGGTGTACAGCTCCTCCCCAGGGGTTCTGTAGCGCAGCATGGGTCCCGAGGCACAAAGGCCGTGGCCCCTGAAGGCAGCATCCCTGGAGAGAGGGACAGTCAGCCTGCTGTCATGGGAGTGGCCTGCCGAGACCAGCAGGATGGGGCAGCAGGGCGGAGAATGTAAGGACCCGGGGATGGTGCCCGGGCTTGCCGAGACTGCCTGTATGGGAAGGAGACAAGATGATGGTGAGCCAGGCTCGCAGGTTCGGCCAGAAATCCGGGACTGGCCTGGCGCTGGCACCTGCAGGACCTCGCAACGGGTACTGGCCTGGCTTGCTGGGTGGGGTCCCTGGACAGAGGTCTGAAGGATGCCAGGGGGCCTGGGGCTGCTCCTCTTCCCCCACCCGCCCCCCCACTCACAGAGCACCCGCAGCTGACGGTCATGCTGCAGAAGCAGCCAGCCAGGGCCTCTTCCCTTGTGCGTGGGTCTCGGGAGCCCCCACATGACCTGCCAGGAAGGACCAGGCTGGGAAAACTCTCCTCCTTGGAGCGGTAGTAAGGGAAGAACCCGCTGGGCGGTTCTGGGTCCTCAGGGAATGGCACCTCTCTGATGTTCTGGTTTCTGCCTCGGTCCCTGCCAACCTCGCGCAGTGGGGCTGGCTCCTCCACAGCCAGGAGCTTCCCGTAGGTGCGGAAGAAGGGCAGGTACTCCGAGGCCACCAGGGGCCCATGCGAGAGGTCGAGGCTGCTGGCCTGGAGGTGCTGGGACAGGGGCTCTGGGCCGTCCTCCTCCAGGAGGCTCTGGGAGACCGAGACCCTGGGATCAGACTCACAGCTCTTCTGGGGTGACTGGGAAGAGAAAGGGGTTCCACCTGTTACGGCAGCCCAGCTTCCCTGCCCCCGAGCTTCGTCCCCGTTCCTGCCGACACTGGAGGCCAGAGGGGTCTTTCTTTCCAAAGCATAAACCTGAGTGCAGCTCTCCTTTGTTAGAGCCCAGCGGCGGTGGCCAGCCGTGAGTAGGTTACCCAAGAGCCCTGGAGGACCTGACCCCACCAGCATCTGCAGCCGGCCTTGCGTCCCTCTCCCCTGCTCGCTCCACTCTGTACCCACCAGTCTCCTTGCCCTTCCTCGGTCACACCCAGCTTGGCCCAGCTTTAGAGCCTATGCCCAGATCTGCCTTTCGCCTCTCAGTTCAGAGGAGCCTTCCCTACCCCTGCATCTCCCCACCCCTGCCTTGAGTCCTGATCACTTCACCCCTCACATCTCCCACACTGGAATGTTCTTGCTCTGTGCTCTGCCTGTTCTGGTGTGTGGTGGTCTTGTCTGTCTGATGCTCCCGGCTCATGGCAGGCATGCAACTGATACTTTTCCAACAAATGACTGGGCTAATCTGCTAACTCTCAGGTCATCTCAAATTCCCTTCACTGTCCAGTCCAGCCACACAGACCTCTTGGTCCTTCTCACTCGCCAAGGAGCCTCCCGCCTCAGGGCCTTTGCTAATGCTCCTGCCTAGAATCTCTTCCTTCTCCTTTTCCCTGGTTAACAACTTCAGCCCTTGGCTCCAGGCCACTCTCTGCACTTCTCTGACTTAGCCGCATCACTCTGTTGTTGACTCCCACCACCCTGATGCCCCTCATTCAGAGCACCCACTCCTCTGCTATGAAACATTCATCTGCATGGTTACTTATTAATATCTCTCATCTTACTAGTTACAAATTCCACTGAGGCAATGCCCATCTGTCTTCTGCATCCTCCGGACCTAGAACAGCCCTGGCACATGGCAGATACCAAATATTGGAATAAAGGAAAGGAAGGTGGGAGGGAGGGAGAGAAGGAGGAAGAAAGAGAATATTACACTGGGTTTGGCCAGGAACAAAGTCCTTGCCAGACTCCATGTCAATAGGAAGGGGAAGACATGTCTTGTGGGGAGGTTGGGGAGGGGAATGAGGAATTACTCCCCAGGCCCAGAGGGAACAGAGAAGCCCAGAGCACCTGTCAGTAACCTTTGTCCACCTTTGCCAATCAGGATCAGACCCAGAGCCCATGGGTACATGTGAGGTCCGGGGGGTACCCTGTGGACTCTGAGTCCCACTAGGAAGGACTTATGGTCTGGCCCTAGCCTTCTTGATCCTTGCTGGGGCCTCTGGCCTTGAGTTTCCCTCCCTGATCCCATGTCATGTGGTCGTGTTGGTCCTAACTCCTTGTGTGCAGCTTCACCAGCGTAGTCCCCAGTGGGAGTCCTAACCCTGGGTGAGAGCCCAAGGCCCGAGAGACTGAGAGCTCCAGAAGAGCAGGGACCAGGCCCCCTTCCCCTGAGTCCTGGTGCCCAGCTCGGGGCTCCCTGTGCTAAGTTTCCACCACTCCCTAGACACCCCATGGGCCCTCTGCAGTCCTCTCTCTCAGACAATCCACAGGAAGCCCGTTCCAGCTTTGCTGGGCCTAGGAAACAAGACGGGCTAGAGGCGGTGCCAGGATTTGAGGCCAAGTCCACCCTATTCCGAAGCTGTGACCTATGTGGTATTGTGGTCTGAACCGTGTGGGGGCACAAGATATGTACCCGGGGTCCCTGGGAATGCAACCTTATTTGGAAATGGAGTCTTTGCAGATGCAATCAAGTTAAGATGAGGTCATACCGGATTAGGGTGGCCCTAAACCCAACAACTGCTGTCCTTATGGGGGAAATTTGGACCCAGACACAGAGGGAGCATCATATGACGTTGGGGGCAGAGACTCGAGTGGTGCTGCCACAAGCCAGGAGAGCAAGGAGCCGCCAGAAACTATGAGAGGCAGGGAACACATTCTCCTTGAGCCCGCAAGAAGGAACCTGCCTTCAGAACTGTTCGAGAATGCATTTGTGCTGTGTTAAGCCACCCAGTTGGTGATGATTGGTTCGGGCAGCCCCAGGACACTACCACATACAGGTGGGTCACAGGGCTGGTTGCATGGGTGAAGGGATTTGCCACAAGAATGAAGGTTTGCAGGGCTCTCCTGCCAATACCTCTTGAGCAGCTTATGGGGAGAAGCCCATCACTAGGGCTGCACTGTCCCTGCAGGGGCTGGGTTCCCCGAGGCCTTACCCTTCCTGCCATCCCGCCGTGCTGACCCAGAGGCTCTCTTACACCTGAGTCTTCCCCACCTGGGCCCTGGTTCTGCTTCTTCAGTGGGTTTCGGATTGAAGGAGGCCAGGTGGGCCCCCACCTACTCTCCAGAGGGGCTAGGCAAAGCAGCACGTGCCCAACGCCACGTATGCTGTCCCTCGGCCACCGCCTCTGGCATCCATCCTGGAGCCAGCGGTGGCCCCAAGTTGTGACATGATCAAGGCTGATCTTTAAACTCTGGCGAGAAAGACAAAGCTGCCCTTGGCAGGTCCCTTCCTCCTGGCCTGCTCTTCACCCTGGCAAATTCCCCTCTGCCTGTCGGAGAAGATTCTACCATGAAGTCACAAGGCCTGGTGCCAGGCAAGAAAGCCAGATGGCTCCGTTACCACGGAGACTCCTGTCCCAGCGCCCAACACCTGTGATCCTCACCTGCCTCTAATTCCACTTAATCCAGCTCTCCCCAGAGACTCGGGGGAAACAAAGGGGAGGCAGACAGCTTCGGGAATCAGATCAGCTCTCAGGGCCAGTGAGCTCGCTCGGGGGCTTGTGCCCAGAGACTCAGAGAGTGCCCCAGCACCGCCAGTGGAAGCCGAGGAGGGGGCCCCCCCAAGGGTCCATGTTGTTGCCGAGGGCTGTCTGGACCCCTCCTTCCCTGGGTGCCTCAGCCCGTTCGGCTCTCTGCTCCTGCCTCCTCTCCTCTGTGGGTCTTCCCCAGTCACTCATGAGCACCAGGTGAGAGGACAGAAGAAGTGCTCATGCCGAACGCCTGCTTTCCCCCCACAGAGCCACCATCCCCAGCTTGGGTCCCAGGCCGATGCTCCTGCCCTGGGGGAAGAGACCAGCATTTGCTGTCAGCTACCATGCTGGGTGTTCCCCTCAGGCAGCCCTCGCTACAGCCCTTCGAGTCAGGAATGGTACCACTATGCTGCCGTGGTACCGCCTGGGGAGTTGAGGCTCAGCACTCGGATGGCCTTTCAGAGGTAGTCCTTAGCCCTAGGGCTGGAGACAGGAGCCCGGACACACCGCACAGGGCCACGGGACCCGGCCATCGCCAGGACCTCAAGCTTCTCCAAGCACAGGGTGACGCAGCCGGGATCCCCCTCACCCCCACCCTGGGCCATTAAGGCTTGCTTTTCTTGTTTGGTAGATGTAACTCTTTAATCCACATGGAATTTATTTTTTGTAAGTGGTAACAGATAAGCCTCTAATTCTATTTTCTATTTTGAGTTCTATATGGTGATGCAACATCATTTATGAATAATGTATTCCTCCACCAACCTGATTTGAAATACCAGAGTAACCACATTCGAAATTCTTAACTATTGTAAACGCAAGTCAGTTTCTCAAAATTATTTATGGTTCTGTTCCTCTTTGTCTCTCTTGGTACCAGTGCTAAATTGTCTTGAGCTCTTTAGTTTTATCATGATTGTAATTCATTATACAGTCATATTTTTACTATTTTTTAAAATTTATTTATTTATTGGAGAGAGAGCGATTAGGAGGAGGGGCAGCGGGAGAGGGAGACAGACTCCCAAGCAGACTCCAAACCAAGCATAGAGCCCGAGGCAGGGCTCAATCCCGTGACCCTGAAACCACAACCTGAGCAGAAACCAAGAGTCAGACGCTTGGGGGCGCCTGGGTGGCTCAGATGGTTAAGCGTCTGCCTTCAGCTCAGGTCATGATCCCAGGGTCCTGGGATCAAGCCCCGCATCGGGCTCCTGCTCAGTGGGGGGCCTGCTTCTCCCCCTCCCTCTGCTTCTCCCCTTGCTCATGTTCTCTCTCTCTCTGTGTCTCTGTGTCTCGAATGAATAAAAAAAAAAAAAATCTTAAAAAAAAAAGAGTCAGACGCTTGGCAACTCAGGCCACCCAGGTGTCCCCATTATACAGTCATATTTTTAATAATCAGCTTTATTGAAGTCTAGTTTACATACATCATAATGTGTATTACTTACAACCTAAAAATCCACATAACAACCCCAAAATTAGTATACAGAAATGCCTCTCTTCAGGGAGTCCCCCACCCTGGCCTCCCAGTCCCAAGCAACAAGTGATCTGAGTTTTGATGCCATAAGTTCATTTTGTCTATTCTAGAATGAACGGAATCACACAATCTGTACTTTTGTGTGCGGCTTCTTTTACTTAACATTTTGTTTTTAAGACTCATCCATGTGTTGGTGTTCTGTTTGTGCCTTTCTACTGAGGAGCAGGACACCACTGTATGGTATAACATGGTTGGCTTATCCACTCATCAGTGTACAGACAGTCCAGGTGTTTCCATTATCAATAAAGCTGCTACGAATAGTAACGTATAAGACTTTGTGTGGGCATAGTTTTTGTTTCTCTTAGGTTGATACCTAGGATTCGAGTAGCTTGATAGTACAGTAAGTGTATATATACTTAAGAAACTGCCAAACTGGGGTGCCTGGATGACTCGGTCAGTTAAGCATCTGCCTTCGGCTCAGGTCATGATCTCAGGGTCCTGGGATGGAGCCCTGCTCTGCAGAGAGTCTGCTTCTCCCTCTCCCTCTGACCCTCCTCCCCGCTTGTACTTTCTCTCTCTCTCTCTCTGTCTCAAGTAAATAAAATATTTAAAAAAACAAAACAAAAAACGCTGCCAAACTGATTCCAAAGCAAGGTTGCACCATTTTACATTACCAGTGGCAACTGATGTATGAAAGATCTAGTTGCTTCCCATTCTTGCCATCACTTGAAAATTTTGCCATTCTAGTGGGTGTGTACTGGTATATTATGGTTGTAATTTGCATTGATGACTAATGATGTTGAGCATCTTTTCCTGTGCATATTGTCAACTTATATACCTTCGTTTGTTAAGTTTTTTAATCTTTTGCCCATTTTAACAACTTTATTGTTCTAATTAAAGTACAACAAACTGCAGATATTCAAAGTATGCGATCTGACCAGTTTTCACAAATGTACGTACTTGGGAAACCAAAGTGTACACAATCAGGATAACAAACATTTCTATCAGTCCCCACAATTTCCTCATGCACTTTTGTAATCTGTCCCTCCCTTTCCAGGCAACCACTGATTTGTTCTCTGTCAATATAGATTATAATTCCTACAATTTTACATAACTAGAATTAAACACTCTATACTTTGTCTTCTTTTACACAGCATAATACTTGTGAGATTCCTCTATGTTTTTGCATGTACCAATAGTTTGTTCCTTTTTTATTACTAAGTGCTTTTTCATTGTATGGATGTACCACGATCATTATTCCACTCT